GATCTTTTTATACTCATAGAGCAAGATGTTAATATATCATTTCACTCAGGTAGTAAAGCTTTTGGAGTATTTTCATGTACACGAAGTTTTTAAACCAGGGGTGGAGGTACACGAGGTGGTCTATGAGTGGACTTCAAAGACTGAGCTCCTGGAAATCCTACGAACTATATGTGTATGCATTTGAGAGGGGTAAGGGAGGGCCAAGGGAGCAGTAGGGATAAGCAAGAAGGAATAACCTGTCCAGGGATGGGCGTCAGAACAATCTGTTAATCTCTTGTCATTCATTCATGTAAAAAAATGGTATGAGCATTTACAATTTCCTAATGTAAATAGTTGGTCCCATGGCTTATAGTCTCAACTGGATGGTAAACTCCTAAGAGGTTAAGAACCATTGGAATAAAGTAGGCTCCTGTATGGGGCCTGGGCAAGAGTACAGATGGAGATTCTTTCTTTTTTTTCTCACACTTGGTTTTGGCCCATCCTTCAGGGTGTCTCACATACTGGCCTGCACATCCATGCTCAGTCTATGTGAGTGCATGATCAGGGTCTAGGATGTGTACATCAGTCATGTGATTATACACCTGGAGCTGGAGCCTGTGTAGGCTCTGAAAGTGGGCTTAAAGTCTTCTGGTCTAGGAAATCCAGGGTTCTACATTCTGAGAACATATCTAGATGTGAGATGGCAGGGGAGCTCACAAGGCACTTCCTAGATGCCTTTGAACTCCTCAGCCCATAGGAAGGGACCAGCCAGAGGAGGTCAGAGTAGGGCCCTTTGCCCAGGATTAAGTCAATACTGGAATTCAGTACTGGTCTTGAAAAAGTCTCTATGAGGAAGTCGAGGCTCTTGGAAGAGTTAGTCCCATATGAATGCCAAAGAAAAAGACCAACCATGACTAGGTGCCCATGGCCAGGCACAGTAATCCTAGCACTCTGGGAGGCTGAGGCAGGTGAATTGCTTGAATTCAGGAGTGTGAGACCAGCCTGAACAAGAGTGAGACCGTGTCTCTAAAAATAGCTGGGCATTGTGACAGGTGCTGGTAGTCCCAGCTACTAGGGAGGCTGAGGGAAGAGAATCACTTGAGCCCAATAGTTTGAGGTTGCTCAAAAAAAAAAAAAAAAAGGCCATCCAATATGACGATGCAGTGGAACCTGTCTTCCGACTTCTAGTCTAGTTCTTTTTCCACTTAATCCACATATCACATGTGCTATGACAGAGTCTCAAGCACCTAGATTCAACTTACCTGGGCATGACTATATCTAGTTCTTGGGTTATACAGAGCATAGATTTTAAGGGGGAAAAAAAAGAACTAATTAAGCCTGTGGTATCTCTTTTCTGATATGTATTGGATATACTTAACTAGAAAAGTGTTCCCCAGTGGAACATCTTTAAAATTCATGCAATATTTGAATAATTAGTCTTAATCTATAAAAAGTGCTATGGGGAATTTAACCTTAATTTGTGGAAAGAGATGTGTTCAATGGCTAGTTCACAGATTTTTTTTTCTAAATTCACTCTTGTTCAACTTGGATTGTGAAGAGCCAATATTTAAAATAAGTGATATATGTGGTGGGCGCCTATAGTCCCAGCTACTTGGGAGGCTGAGGCAAGAAAATCGCTTGAGAATCACTTGAGCCCAGAAGTTTGGGGTTGCTGTGAGCTGTGATGCCACAGCACTCTACCCAAAGTGACAGCTTGAGACTCTTGTCTCAAAAAAAAAAAAGTGAGATAAAAATAGAATGTTTCTCATAAAACATATAATCATTCCTCTAGGTGGCCTATTTTGATGGTTTAATTTTAATTCTAATATTTAAAGAAAATATATATTTATATTGTCTCATTGACATTGTTACATCAAGCTGGGTTGTGCCTGAGGAGTTTATGTACACGGATTTCTGGAAAGCTCTGATTTTGCAATCAGGGTGTGTACTGAGCCCCTCACACATTTTCCCTGAGTGTCTCCTTGGTTAATCCTATCAGTAAGAATAAAAAATACCAGATTTCATGCTTTATTCAATAATAGTAATAAAAAGGACTGAGAGGTGAAATCATACGTCCTTTTCCCACATATTCTTTTCCCACTTATGTTCAACCTAATCTCTCCTACCCACTGTCCCCTCTGCCAGGATGCAGACTTGAGTCCTCATAACCTGTGATTTCCTAGATCTTCCCCAGTGGAACAACTATGGATGATTCCTACTGAGTCATCTTGGGAAGTGGAAGGTGGGCTGGATTTATGTGACCAGGGAAGGGAGGACTTTCAAAAACAGCAACAGTTAGCAGTGTTGCTACCCTTCCAAGTCAAAGTGCTATTTGCTTCTGCTTCTGCTGTCACTGCTCCGTGCATGATGGCTGGTCTGCACTGTGAAAAATGTGGGGAAAGGTTAGACAAGCACCTAGAATGTCACCAGCATAAGGGATATCCTTAGGTGGGGTAGACACCAAGTGGGAGGCAAGATGGGGTTTCCCATGCTTGGGGGCTTTTCTTCACAGAACGGGAAGTCCCCTTTACCCTTTTCCTCCCTTTTAGGTTCCCCGAAAGCCCATTGACGCTCCCCGTCAACTCCATTTGGGTGATAGAGGACGCTGCTCATTAAGCACAGTCTCCAACTCTCTTGATCATCAATTTGCAAACCACATGGGGCGGGGGGAGCTGACTCACAGGCACATGATGTAGAGTTGGGAGGTGATGGGCTCACAAGCCACTGGGTGATGAAGTCATCTTCCAGATCCCTGTATCTTTCCTTCTATACCTGGGGCTTCTCCCTCACAACATTCCCCAGTTATTCCTTATCTTTAGTGATTGTGTATTTCTATGTTGGAGGAAGGATGTTTCCCTCTGTGAATATATGCATCAGAGGGATTGCTGCTTTGTGTCTTTTATATGTATGTCTAATGTGCCCCTGGGTGTGGTGGTGTCAGGAATTAAAAAGCTCAGAAATGGAAAATATTTAACCCTCCGGGTAGCAGATGAATACAGCTCGCACATTTGCATTTTCCCTTTCACTCTGACTCATCTTCCCCTCTCCTTACCCGAGTGCCCCTCCACCAGCCTCACCCATTGACACACCCTGTCTGATGTAGGTGTCTGCACTCAAGCTAGAATGAGAAAGAAGGTATGGTAGGTCTAGAGGGACAAAATAAGAAGCTAGTCTACACATTTTGGAGAAAATGGGAGAAATGGGAGCTTCAAGACACAATATTTGGGTTTAAGAGGTGAGACCAGGGTGTTTATCTTCCATTTATTTATTTATTTATTTATTTGACAGAGTCTCCCTCTGTGCCCTGGGTCGAGTGCTGTGGCATCATTGTAGCTCACAGCAACCTCAATCTCTTGGGCTCAAGCAACCCTCTTGTCACCTTCCCCAGTAGCTGGGACTACAGGTGCCCACCACAATGCTGGGCTAGTTTTTCTAGTTTTAGTAGAGATGGGGTCTCACTCTTGCTCAGGTGGTCTCAAACTCCTGAGTTCAAGCAATCCACCTGCCTCGACCTCTCAGAGTGCTGGGATTACAGGCATGAACCACTGCGCCCAGCCCTTCCAATTATTTATTATACCTATATGATATGCCAGGCACATAAGTACTTCATCATTTGTTGAATGAATAAAAAATCTGCTACAGGATCAGGGATAACAGAATAGTAAGAAACATAAAAGGAAATTTGAGCATCTCAGACCTCATCTCTTCCTCAGATGAAAGGGTGCTGAAGTGTGAAAAGAGGGGAAACCTTTGGGGACATTGACTCCTTGGGCAGGAAGTGAAAGAAACCCCTGAGTCCTAGTTTCAGAGAAATGCCATTTATCATCAGCCCAAGAAAAGGAGGTTTTCTTTTCAAAGACCACCGCAGGCCCTTCCTGGGGTTGCCCCCTTCAAAGCTTGATGGGAGGATCTGAGTCACTCACACACCCTGTCCCCAATGGCAACCCAGATGACAGGGGTCATTACCACAGAGCTAATGAGGCTTTCTAGCACCAAGTCAGGGAGAGAGGGAGCGTCCTTTTGGTCCTCATTCACCCTCTTCTTGGAATCCACGTTTCGGTCCTTTTGACTTCCGAAGTAGGAGAAACAGCTTCCAGCTACTAACGTTCTACCATCATCTCTAAGAAGCAGAACTAATATATTTGATAGGTGCTATGTACTTAGAAACCACTTTCACATTCATCATGTCATTTCATCTCCTCCAAATGAGAGACTATCCCTATTTCATAAATGAGGTAACTGAGGCTCAGAGAGGTAACTTGCCCAAGGTTACTCAACCAGTAAATGGCACAGATAAATCTCAAATGCAGGTCTGATTATTCCAAAGTCCTTGGACCTACAGATACAGTTTTTTGACCCTAGGAGTTCACAAATGAAATAAGAAAACACGCAGTTAGAAGGCAGAATGTCTGGGTTCTGGAAGTAGAGGGGGGTAGTGTTTCCTATAAAGCAGAGCCAGGATTATAAAACCACACCCCCTTGGAGGACTGCAGCAGACTGTTATTTGGCACATCCAATAGAGGACTGTGAGGTCGTGGGCGGGGCTTGTTGGGGGGAGGGATCCAGGAGCCCCAACAGCAGTTCAGAACATGCGGCATGAGGAACCTACAAGGGTGAGTGGTTGCTTCTCCCCAGCTGAAGCTTTCTTCCCATCACAACTCTCTTTTTGTCCATTCCCTGCCAACTTGCAGCCCTCTCCCTGAGGTGTCCAAGTAGTAACTCTCCCTCTCACAAGGTCCTTGTTCACAGGGAGCTTGGAATATGCCAGCTGAATGCTAAGATACTTAGGTTCTGTGTTCTTCATAACTGGGTTCCCAGTTCTCTTCTTAAAAGCCAATGTGGTGGTTTTGATGTGTGATAAACTCCTGCCATGTTGGGTTTTGTCTTCCTACTCTTCACTTGTCTTTTGAAAAACAAGAATAAGCCATTTCCTTATCCTAATCTTGAGAGGAAATAGCCTCCCTCTCTAAAGTTCACATTTCTCATTCTCCTACTTCCTTGGAGTCACTTCTCCAAGATCTCTCTTCATCACTGGGTCAGAAGCCTTTTCTCCTGTATCTTCTGCACCTACTTTCTTAACTTACTGGGTGGGAATCTTTGGTCTGTTCTCTAAAGATATGTTCTAGAGGCTTCAGCTTCAGGGCAACGATTGACCAATGCCTTAAAGCCTGCCCTCCTGCCCTCCATGACCCCTGTCTTGCTGCCCTCCCAAATTTCAGGGATGATGGGCTTGTGGAGGGAGGGCCCACTAGCTTTTGAAGTTCTCCCATGAAGCTGTGTCTTGCTCTATCCCTAATGCTAGAGTTGACTGGGTTTCCTGATGATCCCTTTGTGTGGGGTGAATGAGGAAAGCCTGGCTTGCTGAGAGGGCTTTCCCTGCAGAGGACCTTGGAGAGGAAGAAGTATCAGTATCTGCTAGCCTTTAAGTCAGAGACTGCCCATATATACTATACTTGTCTTAAATTCACTAATTAATATTTTTGTTGACTGCCTGGCCCTTGCTCTTTAAGTCCTGAATTTGGTCTAATTTCCATTCTCCCTCCATTCTCCCCACCCCCAGCTCCTGTTCTGATTCTGGACTACCCAAGTCTTCTCTTTGGGTAGTTTATCTGTTCTACTCAGGACAGAGGGCTCTGATCTAGAAGGAGCAACTCACTTTCTCTCCCCTCACCTCCACAGGCTTGAGAATATGCTGTTCTTCCCTACCTTTTCCATCATGGAGCCCACATTGTTGCCCTTCCCTTAGAGCCTCTGAGACTGGTACCCAGGCAAGACATAATGCCTCTGCCTGCCATAAGACTGCCCAGCCCTTATGGCTCTGATCGGCTGGTACGACTGGCCGCCAGGCTCCGGCCAGCACTCTGTGATACCCTGATCACCGTAGGCAGCCAGGAGTTCCCTGTCCACAGCCTGGTGCTAGCAGGTGTAAGCCAGCAGCTGGGCCACAGGGGCCAGTGGGCTCTGGTAGAAGGCATCAGCCCTTCCACCTTTGCCCAGCTTCTACATTTTGTTTATGGAGAAAGTGTAGAGCTGCAGCCTGGGGAGCTGGGGACCCTAGAGGAGGCAGCCAGGGCCTTGGGAGTGCAGTCCCTGGAAGAGGCATGCAGAAGGGCTCGAAGGGACAGGACTGAAGAGGAGGTGGATCTAGGGCTGAAGAAACATCAGGAAGAGCCAGAGAAACCCACAAGGGATTCTGAGAGAGGACTGAGAAGGCTTGGAGAGAAGCAGAAACAAGAGAAGTATTTTAGAGCTGGTGAGAGAGAACAGATGTCGCACAAGCACAAACTACCAAGAAAGAGCCCTGAGACGGCAGGGGCAACAAGGGAGGGTCAGGGGGAGCAGATGAGATCAAAAGAGGAAAAACTCAACCAATCCCCTATTTGCCATGGGACAGCAGATGGGAAGAAAGGTGTGGTCATGTGGGTGAGGAAGAGTCTAGGGGGCTCTGAGGAAAGTCTGCGGGAGTGCCCTGGCCCCCTTCCCCCACCAGGTTCCTTCCAAACCAGTATCATCCCCAGGCCCTGGTGGGCTGAGGCCTCTTGGTTGGGGGAGGGCCAGCCTGCCCTGTGGAGCATCCTGCTGTTGCCTCCCAGATACGGCACTCCCTTCTCACATAGCACACCCATGACTGGAGCCTGGCAGGAGGTCTGGCCTCAGGACCAGAGGTGAGTGAAGGGTCTAGGTGAAGGCTTCCAGGCTGGGAGGGAGTGGCTCAGGAGAGGTGGCCATGATGGCTAGAAAGGCACCATGTCTCTATTTCTACTGTGTATTTTCTGAGCTGGGGATGGGACAAACAGCTCCTGCCACAGGGAATGCCAAAGCCTTGCCCTTGAGGACTCAGGACACCCTCCCCCTCTTAGGAAAGGCTAGGCTCCAAAGTTTTTCCCAGGCTGTAACTCTTTCCCACCCCACTTTCAGGATCCCACTGGCTCTGAACCCCCACAAAGGGCTCTGGAGCCAGAACCAGTTGGCCTCCTCCAGCCCCACCCCAGGTAAGCCCCTCACTGTCCTGCATACACCCTGCAACATGGTCTCTCCTCTGGGGCTGGGGCTCCAGGAGTCCAGCCTCAGCAGGGCCCCTACCTCATTCTGCTCCCTCCAGGTTCCCTCCCCCAGGGCCCTGCACAGCTCAGCCCTGGGGAGATGGAAGAGTCTGATCAGGGGCACACAGGTGAGTAGGGTGAGGGCACTTTTGCCTCAGCCCCACTGTAGTCTCTGATTTCTTGCCTGGGATTAGCGGCCTTGCCCTCCTTCAACTTCTCTGTCCCCACAGGAGTACTTGCAACCTGTATGGGTCATGAGGGCACCACAGGCCACCCATCTCAACAACACCCTCCCCCAGCCCCTTCTGCTCGGTCTCGGCCTTATATTTGTTCTGTGTGTGGGAAGAGGTTTTCACTCAAGCATCAGATGGAGACACACTATAGAGTCCACACAGGTATGGGCACTCTGCCTGGTGTGAATCACCTGCTTCTTTCTCAACTCCAGTCTGTCCACTCTTGAGCCCCATTCCTGTACAATTCCCTGGTCACCCAATCTACCCTCAGCTTCCGCAGCCTTCGCTTCTTTCTTCCTTCCTTCACTGACCTTCTCCCTTCACCTGCCCTAGGAGAGAAGCCTTTCTCCTGTAGCCTTTGTCCTCAGCGCTCCCGGGACTTCTCTGCCATGACCAAGCACCTGCGGACGCACGGGGCCGCTCCATACCGCTGTCCTCTGTGCAGTGCCGGCTGTCCCAGCCTGGCCTCCATGCAGGCACACATGCGAGGCCACTCGCCTAGCCAGCTCCCACCCGGATGGACCATTCGCTCCACCTTCCTCTACTCTTCCTCTTTCTCGAGGCCATCCCGGGCCTCGACCTCTCCTTGTTGTCCCTCCTCCTCCACTACCTGAGGAGGTGTGGATAACTTCTTTGGGCTCAGCCAAGATTCTAAGAATGAGAATCGGGTCGTCTGGGCTTCTGACCCAGCACCGCTGCTAAGGTACCTTAGCAAATTCGGCCCCAGGAGAGCCTCGGGATGACCGCAGGTCGCAGGGTCCTAGGCCAATGAGCCCCTATAGGGTGAGGGCACTGAAGTTTACATGAGTAAAGGTAAACTGTATGGGGACTGTCGATCTCATCACCATAATAAAAGAGTTTCCTGTACTCTCCTTTCAGGGCTAGAAAGCCGAGTTTAGTCTGTACGTCTGGGTCCCCCAGCTTTGCCCTTGTCCTGTAGCGGCCCCTAGTGGCTACGAGTCCCCTGTCCAGCGAGGTGGACCCTTCCTCCGGCCCCCGGGGCGTCTCATCCTCTCTCGGAAGCAGCCGGCCGCAAGGGCTCGGTGTCCATGCAAACTTCGCAGCAGGCTCTGGGATAGTGGGGGCTGTGAGGCCCTAAGTTACTCGTCCCTTTCACAGCAATTCTTGGCGCGCGGAGTCTGATCTAGGCGCGCCCAGCCTCGGGCTGGATGGGAACGCGTGCTCCCGCCCTGCTTTCTGCCACCTGCCTTCTCTCCTTGAACACAAAGGCCCCGAGATCGCGGCCTCACCTGCATCTTCCCTCCACACCGAGCGGAACGGCGGCTGGGTCACTCTTGGAACTAAGACTACCCCGTTTGCCGCCGCCCCTTCTCCAGCCCACGCCTCCCACGCTCGCGAACTGCATTTCCCAGTGTCTCCCGGGTTCTCAGGGTGCGAAGTCTGCTGCACCCTGGGAATGGTAGTCCGCGCGGGCCTCTGGCTTCGACAAAACAATGGGAGGAGTCTGGGACGAGGACCACACCTCCCGGAGACCCGGGAACTGGCTTTCTGAGTGCTGGTCAGGGACCGAATAGTCCCAGTTCTAGTGCTTTACCTCCCCGCGGAAGGAGCAATGCGTCTGGACTACATTTCCCGGAGGCCCCTGCGCCTCGCCCCTCTCCGGCCTCGATGCGGAGACTGAGCTGTTCAAGAGCGGTCTGAGGTTGACGGCCGACCGGCTGCGGACTCCGGTTCCCGTGGTGCCCCGCGCGTGGCCGGCCCAGCCCCCGGCTCCCGCCAGCCCGGCGGCGGCGCTGGTTTTTGGCGTGACCGCCCCGCTCCGCCCCTCCTCTACCTCCCCTCCCCCCGGCCTGCGCACGGGCCGCCCCTCCCCCCGCCTCCCCGGCCCCTCTCACGGTGCCAAGATGGCGGCGGCGGCGGGCGGCGGCAGTTGCCCCGGGCCTGGCTCCGCGCGGGGCCGCTTCCCGGGCCGGCCGCGGGGCTCCGGCGGGGGCGGGGGCCGCGGCGGACGGGGCAGCGGGGCCGAAAGAGTGCGGGTACCTCTGCGGCGCGGCGGCGGCGCGGCAGGGCCGGGCGGAGCCGAGCCCGGGGAAGACACGGCCCTGCGCTGTTTGCTGGGGCTCCGCCGGGGCCTGCACCGGCTCCGCCGCCTGTGTGCCGGCCCGCGCGTTCAGCGAGGCCGGGGTCGGGGCCGGGGCCGGGGCTGGGGGCCAAGCCGGAGCAGCGTGCCGGAGGAGGAGAGTAGTGACGGGGAATCCGACGATGAGGTGAGGCGGTCGGAGGCGTCCCCAGCGCCGGGTGGGGCGGAGGCCAGGGTCTTCCAGGGTTCTGGGTTATCCGGCGGGGCGGCTGGGAAAGTGGAATCCCCAGGGCTCCTGCGGGGAGAAGGAACCCTAGTAATAGGCGAGGAAGGAGGCAGGTTGCATGAAGCTTTCCATGCAAAGGGCCTCTGAAAGTGGGTAGAGAAGGCTGCTGCAGCTAGCTAGGCTCTTGGGCCCGAGGCAGGTCCTGCTGAAGTGTCTTGGGCTGATCCTTTTCTGTAGTTGGCGAAGCTAGAGCAGTAGAGGTTCGGGTGAGGAGGCAGTGTGGACTGCATGCCCAGCCAGGGGTGGTTGACAGCAGCGTGGCTTTAGTGGACCGAGACTAGAGCTGTCTAAGCTCTTACCTGTAGGCTGCCCTGCTGGGCCTGAAACCTCCCCGGTTTCACCAGTGCCCCAATTCCTCTTCTCTTCTAAGGTGGAGTGGTGGAGGGCTTCCTCCTGAGGCATTCCTCCTGAAGAGGAATAGAATGAAAGCTGTGACTGGGCATTCGGACAGGTCTGGTCTGAGTTCAGCTCAGACTAGGATTTATCCCCCAGCTTTTCCAGAAAAAGGCAGAAAGGTGTGGGTTATATTACTTACGACAAGTTAATAGCAACTGACGGCTCAGAGTGGATCCCCGTATGATAGGCCATTTGATCCCCTCCCCCCACCCCTCACCTTGGGTGCCCCTAATCCCATCTTCATTCAAGAAGAAACAATGCTAAAGGGCTTAAATGGAGGTCCCACTTTTTTCTGAGTTGAACTCTGAAGGAATCTGAGTATAGGGCCTACTATCTTCACTGAAGAGAACCTGTTGTGTTCTCTTCTGGGCCAACGGACCACTGATGGCTGTGCTGAGTGGTCTGGCGCTGGGTTTGGGATACTTTGTGCCTCCATCCCTAGGGACAGACCCTGTTTTCTACTCCTCTCTGACCGTTGTGTCTTCCTAATTCCTTTGGGAGTAGGTAAGGGTATGTTAAGGGGGAATCTGGGGATATTCCTCAGTATCTGAGTCACAGGTGGAACTAGGGCTTTGGCACTGACTGCTATTTCTCCCCTCCACCCCGGTCCCCTAAATTAGGAGTTTCAGGGTTTTCATTCAGATGAAGATGTGGCCCCCAGTTCCCTGCGCTCTGCGCTCCGATCCCAGCGAGGTGAGTGTTGGGGGAACTCTACCTCTATAGCTTTACAGAGGAACTGTTATTCTTGCCCTTTGTGTTGGCTCTTCCCCATTGGACTAGTCTCCATCAGTTACTGAGTGTGTTCTGTGTTCAGAGTCCAAGCTAGGCTGGGCAGTGGGGGAGTCAGATGAGGAAGACTTAGTCTCTGTCCTCCTAGAGTGCCTTCCTCAGTCTTCAGGGCCAGCTTGACCCATCTTCCCACACCTATTCTCCTTTTAGGTCGAGCCCCCCGAGGTCGGGGCCGCAAGCATAAGACGACCCCCCTTCCTCCTCCTCGCCCAGCAGATGTGGCTCCTACCCCCCCAAAGACCCCTGCCCGGAAACGGGGTGAGGAGGGCACAGAACGAATGGTGCAGGCACTGACTGAACTTCTCCGGCGGGCCCAGGCACCCCCAGCCTCCCGGAGCTGGGCATGTGAGCCTTCTACCCCACGGCGGTCTCGGGGACGGCCCCCAGGACGGCCAGCAGGCCCCTGCAGGAAGAAGCAACAAGCAGTAGTGGTGGCAGAAGCAGCTGTGACAATCCCCAAACCTGAGCCCCCACCTCCTGTGGTTCCAATAAAACACCGAACTGGCAGCTGGAAGTGCAAGGAGGGGCCAGGCCCAGGACCTGGGACCGCCAAACGTGGAGGACAGTCGGGGCGAGGAGGCCGTGGAGGCAGGGGCCGAGGCCGAGGTGGGCTCCCTGTGGTGAACAAGGTCGTTTTAAAGGCCAAAAAAGTAAAGATGGAACAATTGTCCTTGGGACTTGAATCAGGTCAGGGTCAAGGTCAACATGAAGAAAGTTGGCAGGATGCCCCCCAAAGAAGAGTTGGATCTGGACAGGGAGGGAGCCCCTGCTGGAAGAAGCAGGAGGAGAAACTGGAGGAGGAGGGAGAGGAGAAGAAAGAAGAAGAAGATGATGACAACAAAGAGGAGGGAGAAGAGAAAGAAGAGAGAGCTATAGCTGAGGAAGAGAAGATGCTCCCCAAGGAAAAGGAAGAGGCAAAGCTACCATCACCACCTCAGACTTCTCCAGCCCCTTCGCCTCCTCCACCCCTTCCACCTCCTTCAACATCTCCTGCACCACCACTTTGCCCTCCACCACCTCCAGTGTCTCCCCCACCCATGCCGTCCCCTCCACCACCTCCTGCCCCAGAGGAGCAGGAAGAATCCCCTCCTGTGGTCCCAGCCACATGTTCCAGGAAGAGAGGCCGACCTCCCTTGACTCCCAGTCAGCGGGCAGAGAGGGAAGCTGCTCGGGCTGGGCCAGAGGGCACTTCTCCTCCCACTCCAACCCCCAGCACCACCACAGGAGGCCCTCCAGAAGACAGTCCCACCATGGCCCCCAAAAGTACCACCTTCTTGAAGAATATTCGGCAGTTTATTATGCCTGTGGTGAGTGCCCGCTCCTCCCGTATCATCAAGACCCCCCGGCGATTTATGGACGAAGATCCCCCCAAAGCCCCCAAAGTGGAGGTCTCACCTATTCTGCGACCTTCCATAACCACCTCCCCACTTGTCCCCCCGGAACCAGCACCAGCCCCCTCTCCACCACGTGCCCCAACTCCCCCATCTACCCCAGTCCCACTCCCCGAGAAGAGACGGTCTATCCTAAGGGAACCCACGTTTCGCTGGACCTCACTGACCCGGGAACTGCCCCCTCCTCCCCCTGCTCCTCCACCAGTTCCATCCCCACCCCCTGCCCCTGCCACTCCCTCCCGAAGACCCCTGCTCCTTCGAGCCCCTCAGTTTACCCCAAGCGAAGCCCACCTGAAGATCTACGAATCGGTGCTTACTACTCCTCCTCTTGGGGCTCCTGAAGCCCCTGAGCCAGAGCCTCCTCCCGCTGATGACTCTCTAGCTGAGCCTGAGCCGCGGGCAGTGGGCCGCACCAACCACCTCAGCCTGCCTCGGTTTGCCCCTGTGGTCGCCACTTCTGTTAAGGCCGAGGTGCCCCCTCCTGGGGCTCCAGCCCTGAGCAATGGGCAGCTGCCTCAGGCTCAGCCACAGCAGCCCTTGCAAGCCTTGCAAACCCAGCTCCTACCCCAGCCATTGCCACCACAGCAGCCACCATCATCACCACAACAGATGCCACCACTGGAAAAAGCCCGGATTACTGGCCTGGGTTCATTACCATTGTCTGGGGTAGAAGAGAAAATGTTCAGCCTCCTCAAGAGAGCCAAAGTGCAGCTGTTCAAAATTGACCAGCAGCAGCAGCAGAAGGTGGCATCTTCAATGCCAGTGAGTATATTGCTATGGCCAGTTCTCCACTCAGTCCCTCCAGCCTCAATTCTCCGCCACTCATTTATCTCCTGCCTCCCTAGATACTTTCCGGCATTGCAGGGAACCCTCAGAGCCAGTCTTGCGTTACCCCCACCTTCCTGTGTTCCTTCCCTGTGCAACTCCCCTGTCCCCATCTTTCCTCACTTTCCAGCCCCTGACCCTGTTTATTCCCCTACCAGCCAAGCCCAGGGAAGCAAGTGGAGGAGGTCGTTGGGACTGTCAAGCAGATCTCAGACAGAGGTTCTGTAAGGTCTGAAGATGAATCAATGGAAGCTAAGAGAGAGAGACCCTCGGTATGTGATGGGAGAAGGCCCCTGTGAAGAAGGCTGGCTGGAGGCTTAGGGTCACAGGAGCACAAAGCACAGTTCTCCACACATATTCCTGGTTTCTCCTTCCCCAGGGCCCTGAGTCCCCTGTGCAAGGCCCCCGCATCAAACATGTCTGCCGTCATGCTGCTGTGGCCCTGGGTCAGGCCCGGGCCATGGTGCCTGAAGATGTCCCCCGTCTCAGTGCCCTTCCTCTTCGGGATCGGCAGGATCTTGCCACAGAGGGTAGGGGGGTGCTGTGCTGTGGGGAGACTTGACAGTTGTGTCAGCTTTGGGGGTGAGCAAGTGGACAAGAAGCCAGGAGAGAAGGAGCTGAGTCAGGTGCTTGGGGGTAGGTGGTAAGGGGATCGGAGTACTAGGTCTTAGGCAAAGCAAGTTGATTGAAGGGCGCTTGAAATCTATACTGTGGGAAAGTGAGAGCCAAAGGGGGATTGAGTGGGAGAAATCTAGGAGAGTGCTTGGCACCTTTGTAGGTCCATTTTCTTCTCTCTGTCTGCAGGAATAGACACGTCATCAGCATCTGAGACGGAGAGTGTCCCATCACAGTCCCAGCTGGTAAAGGTGGAGTCAGCAGGGCCTGGAGGAGACTCAGAGCCTACAGGGTCTGGAGGGGCCCTGGCCCATACACCCCGGCGCTCACTGCCCTCCCACCACGGCAAAAAAATGCGGATGGCTCGGTGTGGACACTGTCGAGGCTGCCTTCGTGTGCAGGACTGTGGGTCGTGTGTCAACTGCCTGGATAAGCCCAAGTTTGGGGGCCCCAATACCAAGAAGCAGTGCTGTGTGTGAGTAGGCATCACCTCCATTCTCCCCTCTTGGTTGCCAGTCACCAGGCCTCCTGCCCAGCTCCTCTTCTGCCCAGCCAAAGCAGTGGGATGGGCATCCTTGTGGAGAGCTTCCTCTCTTCCCCTAGACCACCAGTCCCCTACCCTGGTGACGTGCTGCTCCCCTCCCCAGATACCGGAAATGTGACAAGATAGAGGCTCGGAAGATGGAACGCCTGGCCAAAAAAGGTAATGGGGCTCAAAGGGTGTTTCTATTAAACCTTATTTAGATTTCTGGTGTGTAAGAAACCATGTTTCCTTGCTCTCCTCCCTTGTTTTTGCAGTTCACCACCTTTGTCTGTCTGCTTTTCTGTCGTGTGCTTTTCTATCACCCGCATTCATTCTCTCTTGCCCCACTTTCTGGCTTTTCTCCATCCCGATGCCCCATGTCCCTGACTGAGCTCAAATCCTATTAAGTCCCCTGTTCCCACAGGCCGGACGATAGTGAAGACGCTGTTGCCCTGGGATTCCGATGAATCTCCTGAGGCCTCCCCTGGTCCTCCAGGCCCACGCCGGGGGGCGGGAGCTGGGGGGCCCCGAGAGGAGGTGGTGGCCCCCCCAGGATCCGAGGAGCAGGACTCCCTCCTACTGCAGCGCAAGTCAGCCCGGCGCTGCGTCAAACAGCGACCCTCCTATGATATCTTCGAAGACTCAGATGACTCAGATCCTGGGGGTCCCCCTGCTCCTCGTCGTCGGACCCCCCGAGAAAATGGTGCGAACCACTTTATGCTTTCTCTGTCATGCAGTTTGTCCTGTCTTCTGCGTGGAAGGGACAAGGTTCTCAGGGACAGGGCTTTATCAGACTGGTAGAGAAGGTGGCTAAGGGCAGAGAAGGAGGCAGTTTTAGGTGGATATGTAGAAGTGGTGTGTGAGGTTCTTAGCACAATTAGCGAGGTGGAAGAGTCATCTTAGTGGGTCTTGGTTAAAGAACCCTTGAAAACCTTGGGAACCCTGGCATTGTAGAAGAAGAGTTAAAATGGGACGTGGAAGGACAGGGACCTCACTGTTCACGTGTCCTGCCTAGAGCTGCCAGCTCCAGAGCCTGAGGAGCAGAGCCGGCCCCGCAAACCCACCCTGCAGCCTGTATTGCAGCTCAAGGCCCGAAGGCGCCTGGACAAGGTCAGCATGGCCCACTTCAAGAACCTCAAACCCTGTGTAAGGCATGGTTCTGCCTTCCAGGAGCTACCTGGCAAGTCAGAGTGCCAGACATGCCCAACTGTAGTGTAGTGTGTGTGCTAGAGAACAGGTCCTGAGGGTGGAGGCTTTGTCTGTCTGGAGAACAAATTGGGATATGGGTGAAAGGCAGGGTCTGGCAGGCTGGGGGAAGGGCAGTGAGGAGAGGAGTTTGGGTGGGACTGGCAGCTTCTAACCATACCATCATCCCTCCTTAGGATGCTTTGGCCCCTGGCCCCTTTGCTGCTTTTCCCAATGGCTGGACTGGAAAACAGAAATCCCCTGACGGTGTGCACCGAGTCCGTGTGGACTTCAAGGTGTGATACTGAGTGGGGTGGGTGTCAGGCCTGTGGTTGGAAGAAACTTGTTGACTATGTCAGAGAAGCCAGGGCTTTATGGATGGGTCTGACTTGTGTCCTTGGCTGCTTTTCAATCTTGCATCCTCTCTTTCCCCCAGGAGGATTGTGACCTAGAGAACGTGTGGCTGATGGGTGGTCTGAGCGTGCTCACTTCCGTGCCAGGGGGGCCACCAATGGTGTGCTTGCTGTGTGCCAGCAAAGGACTGCATGAGGTTGGATCTCTGTCTTTTTTTTCACAGACCCCCAAGTCTTTGTTGGCCCTTAACTGCCTGATGTCTTAGGCCCTCTCAGCTGGGTCTCGTCTCCTGGCCTTCTGGCCTCACGCTGTGCCCATCATTCACTCTCTCCCACACCCATCCTCAGCTGGTGTTTTGCCAAGTCTGCTGCGATCCTTTCCATCCATTCTGCCTGGAAGAAGCTGAGCGGCCCCTGCCCCAGCATCATGACACCTGGTGCTGCCGCCGCTGCAAATTCTGCCATGTTTGTGGACGGAAAGGCCGGGGATCCAAGGTTTGGAACCAGGGGCTGGGTGATGGCAAGGAGGGGGCGTGTCCCTATGCCAGGTTTTGGTATCACTGTCTTTCTCCCACGTCTGACAGCATCTTCTGGAGTGTGAGCGCTGTCGCCATGCTTACCACCCGGCCTGCCTCGGGCCCAGCTACCCAACCCGGGCCACACGCAGACGGCGCCACTGGGTGAGAGATGAGGCCCAGGCCCCTTGCTTTGGTGCTAATGACTAGCACCACCAACCCCCATCACCCCCAGACATGCTCTCGGCTAAGCTCTCAGGAGGCCAAGGAGGGTTGGGGATCCCCTTGAGAATTTTATAAATAACATTTTCTCTTTAGAAACGTCACATAAACAATATTATATACAGAGTTTGTACATGATGGTTTCAGGAACCCATGGATTCTGTGTTCCCAGGCTCAGTTTCCTGCCCCAACCTGTGTCCCCCTTCTTCATCTTCCTCCTCTCTCCAGCATGTCTCTTCTCCTCCTCATCTGTCCTGCATACCCTTTACACCCCCTCGCCCTTTGCCCCCTCACATTGTTCCAGCCCAGTGTCTGACTTTCCCCTAACGTGGACCTGCTCCTCAGATCTGTTCAGCCTGTGTACGCTGTAAGAGCTGTGGGGCAACTCCAGGCAAGAACTGGGACGTGGAGTGGTCTGGAGATTACAGCCTCTGCCCCAGGTGCACCCAACTCTATGAGAAAGGTGGGGACCTGGCAGGGGGGCTGGACCCTGGGGGCCAGAGGGGAGTGAGGCAGGTTCCTAGGCAGACAGTTAAAACAGATACTCAGCGTGTGGCTTTCCACTTTTTAACCATGAAACTTTTTCTTCAGTTTATCATTTTTTCCATGGGAGTCCATCCAGTAGATAAAACAGGGACACAGAACCCCTCTGAGGGCAGTAGGAGTAGAGGGCTTGGGACCCCACCATTTTGGTCTCTGGGATACCTTGTGGAACCTCAACTCTCTTCACTGAGCAGTTTGAAAATTTGGGCTTTCTTCATTCATTCAGGCGGGCTGTTTAGCAAAGTCTCGCGCTGTGTGAGGTGCTGAGGAAGCAGAGTCAGAAAAGAGGCCTTTTTTTTAAACGTGTCGTTTGGGAATGGTGAGGGCGGAATAGAGGCAGCTTGTGGAGCAGTCTAGGGTGGTTGGCCCCTGAACAAGGACTCTGAGGGGTAGATGGTGACCCCAGCTCCTCTGACTCTTCTTCTTCCCTTTCTCTCTAGGAAACTACTGTCCAATCTGCACGCGCTGCTATGAAGACAATGACTACGAGAGCAAGATGATGCAGTGCGCACAGTGTGACCACTGGGTGCACGCCAAGTGCGAGGGGCTCTCAGGTGAGCAGGCCCGGGGCCTGGGTGCAGCCTCAGCCCTGTGAAGATCCTTGGCCCCTGCCCTGTAGAGAGCAGGTGGCCTAGGGGCTACTGGGAACCCTCATATCCTCTCATCTATCTCCTCTTTTTCTGTCTTGGCTGTTTTAGATGAAGACTATGAGATCCTCTCAGGACTTCCAGACTCGGTGCTGTACACGTGTGGACCATGTGCTGGAGCAACACAGCCCCGCTGGCGAGAGGCCCTGAGTGGGGCCCTCCAGGGGGGCCTGCGCCAGGTGCTCCAGGGCCTGCTGAACTCCAAGGTGGCAGGGTCACTGCTGCTGTGCACCCAGGTCTGGAGAGCCCAGGAGGCAGGATAGGGTGGGGCCAGACCCAGCACCAGCCCTGCTGACTTCCCCCCTTTGCAGTGTGGGCAGGATGGGAAGCAGCTGCACCCAGGACCCTGTGGTCTGCAAGCTGTGAGTCAGCGCTTTGAGGAAGGCCACTACAAGTCTGTGGTACGTGGGACACAGGGGTAATAGGTGGATGCCAGGAGAAGAGAGCGAGGGTTGTCAGACCCTCACAAACCCCCTTTACAGCACAGCTTCATGGAGGACATGGTGGCCATCCTGACAAGGCACTCAGAAGAAGGAGAGACCCCAGAGCGCCGGGCTGGAGGCCAGATGAAGGGGCTCCTACTGAAGGTGAGCTCTTTCAGGGATACCTGAGGGTAGTGGGTGGGGGATGGGGAGTGAGACCTTTAGACATGTTCCTGCTGACTCTCCTGGGGAAGCCAGTTCTTCTCATCCTATTAACTCACTCCCCAGCTGCTAGAGTCTGCGTTCGGCTGGTTCGACGCCCATGACCCCAAGTACTGGCGACGGAGTACCCGGCTGCCGAAGTGAGCAAGGCTGGGTAGCAGGAGGGGCACCAGGGAGTAAGCACAAAGGCAAGGGCACATGGGAATCAAGGGGTCAAGCTAGGCTCAGAATAGATGAGAGCAGAGTTAGGGTCTACTAGAGAGGAGATAGTAGAATCAGCAGGAGATCTCCCGTGGTTCTAGACTAGCAAAGCATTACTCCTACTGTATTAGTCAAGGCAGTTCTGGAAACAAAGCAGTGAACAAATAAGATTGGACTCTACTGAAAGAGCTCATTTTGGGGAGCTGGGCAAGCTTTATTAGGGCCATAATGAGGAACTCCAGGGAGCTGTGGGAACCCAGAGGGGGCATCTAGAAGAGCATGGGGATCATGGAAGGCTTCCTAGAAGAGGTGACACCTAAGCTGAGATTAGGAGGAAGGGTATTCCAGGCATGAATAACAGCATTATTATATGTCAAAGGTGGCAAAAGGGGCTCTGACTTTTTGAGGGGACTGAGAGAACTTGTGCATGGGGAGAGCTATAATTGCAGGTGTAAGCTGGCATTGTGGGTAGGCCCCAGTCCAGCTGCCTTTGTTAGACGTGTCAGATGCTGACCTGCCTGTTCACAGCGGAGTCCTTCCCAATGCGGTGTTGCCCCCATCCCTGGACCATGTCTATGCTCAGTGGAGACAGCAGGAACCAGAGACCCCAGAATCAGGGCAGCCTCCAGGGGATCCCTCAGCAGGTACCGGGAAGTGGGGCTGGAGGATAGGGCCCCTAAGATGGCAGGCCAGGCTCCAGATCTTGATTCTTAGACCTCCTTTCCCTCATCCTTTTCCAGCTTTCCAGGGCAAGGATCCAGCTGCTTTCTCACACCTGGAGGACCCTCGTCAGTGTGCACTCTGTCTCAAATATGGAGATGCAGACTCCAAGGTGAGGGTTGCTGTGTGAAGCCCTAGATTTGAGGTCTGGGCCCAAGAACCCCCCATCACGCCACTCTTCTTGCCACCAGGAGGCAGGGCGGCTCCTGTACATTGGGCAGAATGAGTGGACACACGTCAATTGTGCCATTTGGTCAGCTGAAGTGTTTGAAGAAAACGACGGCTCCCTCAAGAACGTGCATGCTGCTGTGGCCCGAGGGAGGCAGATGGTGAGGGTGTACGCCTGGAAAGGTGGCCTCAGGTCTCACATGGGGTACTTGTCCAGTGGGAGCTACTCTTAGTTTGCATTTCTTCCCTGGGCTTGTCCTTTCATTATTGATCCTAGGTACCTTTTTTAGTTGTCCCAAGTCTTATGCTGATACGGATTTTTAAAAATTTGTGGGCAGTGCCTGTGGCTCAAAGGAGTAGGGCACCAGCCCCATATGCTGGAGGTGGTGGGTTCAAGCCCAGCCCTGGCCAAAAACTACAAAAAAAAAAAAAAAACTAAAAATTTGTGCCCTCTGGCCATGATCTGGGCCTGAAGCATGGGAGACTAAAAGAAGATCTCTAATTGACACATACTGGATGCTTTGTATACAGCGTGGCATTTAGCTCTTATTTTGTTCTGGTGAAGTGAGGTGTTCCCTGGGTTAGAATTCCCATAGTCGGCTCGGTGCCTATGGCTCAAGTGGCTAAGGCACCAGCCACATACACCTAAGGTGGCAGGTTCGAATCCAGCCTGGGCCCGCCAAACAACAATGATGGCTGCAACCAAAAAAAAACATACCTAGGCATTGTGGCAGGCGCCTGTGGTCCCAGCTACTTAGGAGGCTGAGGCAGGAGACTAGTTTAAGCCCAGGAGTTGGAGGTTGCTGTGACCTGTGATGCCACAGTACTCAACAAAAACACAGCTTGAGGCTCTGTCTCAAAAAAAAAAAAAAAGAATTCCCATAGTCACCGGTGTGGGACCTGGCCCAGGTACTGTAGAATGCCTCAAGCTCTCTGTCAGGAGTTGGGATAACTACTGGCTTTAAGTACAGTAATAGAGGTCCTGCTGTAGGATTGTGTGAGAAAGGTGGTAAGTGAAAATTAGCTGCTCTCTCTCCCCACTCTCTGCTTCAAAAAAATCTGAAAGACTTTGTGTGTGCACCTGGCCATGGGTGCAGTTGAGGAAGAGGTTATGTTTGGTGAGGGCTTTTGTTGTGTGAGATTCTGGGCTAGACAGGGACATAAGCAGGCTCTCAGAGACAGTGGTGCTCAGCATCACACACGCCCCCTCCCCCTGCCACCCACAGCGCTGTGAGCTCTGTTTGAAGCCTGGAGCCACGGTAGGCTGCTGCCTTTCCTCCTGCCTCAGCAACTTCCACTTCATGTGTGCTCGGGCCAGCTACTGCATCTTCCAGGACGACAAGAAAGTATTCTGCCAGAAACATACGGACCTCCTAGATGGCAAGGTGGGCCAGAACCGTGGAGAGATAGTCCCCAGTGTTCTCTGTTCCCCTTCCGCTTAGGGACCCCCATCAATGCTGATCCCTGGTTCCTGCTCCTTCTCAGTGTCTCCTTCTATGTTCTCCCAGAGCCCTTTAGGCCAAGCTCCTGACTGTTCAGACCTTGCCCACAGAGCCTTTCCCTGGTATCCCCTTCTCACCCCTCCAATCCAGCAACTCCCATTTGCCATCCACCTCCCAGGAGATCGTGACCCCCGACGGTTTTGATGTTCTCCGCCGAGTCTATGTGGACTTTGAGGGCATCAACTTCAAGCGCAAATTCTTGACGGGGCTTGAACCTGATGCCATCAATGTGCTCATTGGTAAGCCACTTGTTTTCTGCTCTCTTCGTCCTGACCTTCCCCAGCCTGCCTCTGCTGACGTCTCCTTTTTACCACAGGCTCCATCCGAATTGACTCCCTGGGTACTCTGTCTGATCTCTCAGACTGCGAGGGACGGCTCTTCCCCATTGGCTACCAGTGAGCAGTCCGGGGGACCCTGGTAGGGTTGGGGTACTTGAGGGATAGATCCCATTTCCCAAATTGTCTTAACCCATTTATCTCACCTGCCAGGTGTTCCCGTCTGTACTGGAGCACAGTAGATGCTCGGAGGCGCTGCTGGTATCGGTGCCGAATTCTTGAGTATCGACCCTGGGGGCCTCGGGAAGAGCCTGTGCACTTGGAGGCAGCAGAGGAGAACCAGACCATTGTGCACAGCCCCGCCCCTTCCTCAGGTAAGGCCTTGGTGCCACCCTACCTCGTTTTCCTCCCTTAGTGCTGCCCTCCTTAAGCCTTCTTGGTCACCCACTGATGCCCGTGTCCCTCTCCCCTCAAGAAAACCTAACATGCTTGCAGTTCTTTCATCCACTGTAATAACAGATAATTCATTGGCCGTGCACTGTGTGCCTGGGGGTGTGCTCAGAATTTCATAGGAAGTGCAGTGGGGAGAGCACTATGCTGCCTGCTTGAGGTGGGAGGTAACCTGGGGACAACTGAGGGGAGCAGAGTTTACAGCTCCCAGACTTGGAGTCCGTGCTCATGTGAGGCTCCCAGCCCTCTGATGAAGTAAAGACTCCTCTACACTGCACCTCGAATGGGGACAGTTGCTGTCCATAGTAACTGATCAGCGGAACTGGGATTTGAGCCTGGATCTGTTCAGTTCTCAAGCTGGCACCCTTGCAGGCATGCCACAGTGAGGAATGGATCTGAGAGCTGGGTGGCAAAGAGCAAAGAATGGGCTTGGGGATTAGCAGAGAGGAAGAGGTCACTGTCAGCAGAATAGGAGGTGGAAGAGATTTGGATTATGTTTGTGGATAAGGGATTTACTCCAGGTTGGAGCATGATAAGAAGTGGAGAAGGGAGGCAGATGCACCTACCCTGGTTGGAAACAAGGGCATCTTGGGAGGAGGAGGCAGAAGTCAGCTAGCAAAGGTTGGATGTAGCTAGGTCATGGAGAGAGCCCCAAGCTCCAGGACTAAATGGATGATGCTTTGATGTGATGAGGATGCACAGAGCAGGTGGGAGAGTGGTGGGACTGGCCATCCTGGGGAGAGAGCATTGTCATGGCATGTGGGGTCTGAAGCAGAAAGAGAACAGTAGAGAGCCAGGAAGTGGGAAGATGGCCAAGCACAGCTGAGGAGAGGTCTTGAAGGGACCCTGACCCAGGTGTGTAGGGGTGTGTGTGTGTGTGTGTAGATTTTGTAGATGCCAGGGGTAGGGTTTGGGACCAGAAAGGTAACTGGAAACCAGTGCGTGTTGTGACTAGGTCAGGGTCAGGGCCTGAGAAGGCACAGTTGGCTTAAAAGAAGGGAGAACATGTGATGAGAGACTTTGATGAAAAGCCTCTGTTACCCCTGCTACCCCTGATGCAACTTTCTTGCCTCTCTAGAGCCCCTAGATCATGAGGACCCCCTACCAGATTCAGATGCCCTTATCCCTGGAGCTCCTGAGCACCACTCTCCTGTTCAGAACCTGGACCCCCCGCTTCGGCCAGATTCTAGCAGTGCCCCTCCTCCAGCCCCTCGCTCCTTCTCAGGGGCTCGAATCAAAGTGCCCAACTACTCACCATCCCGGAGGCCCTTGGGGGGTGTCTCCTTTGGCCCCCTGCCCTCCCCTGGTGAGCACCTGGGAGTGCCTGGGGAGGGTGGGGCAGGGGTAGCTGGAGCTCCTGGGCTGACATCAACCCTTCCCTTCACAGGAAGTCCATCTTCTCTGACCCACCATATTCCTACAGTGGGAGACATGGACTTCCCAGCTCCTCCCAGACGCTCTCGTCGTCCCAGCCCACTGGCCCACAGGCCGCCACCATCACGGCGGACCTCCCCTCCTCTCCGAACTTCCCCTCAGCTCAGGGTGCTCCCTCCTACCTCAGTCGTTGCAGCCCTCACACCTACCTCAGGGGAGCTGGCTCCCTCTGGCCCGGCTCCATCTCCACCACCCCCTGAAGACCTGGGCCCAGACTTTGAGGACATGGAGGTGGTGTCAGGACTGAGTGCTGCTGACCTGGACTTTGCAGCCAGCCTGCTGGAGACTGAGCCCTTCCAGGAAGAGATTGTGGCTGCTGGGGCAGTGGGAAGCAGCCATGGGGGCCCAGGGGACAGCTCAGAGGAGGAGGCTAGCCCCACCACCCGCTATATCCACTTCCCTGTGACTGTGGTATCTGGCCCTGCTCTGGCTCCTGGGGCCCTCCCTGGGGCCCTCCCTGGGGCCCCCCGCATCGAACAGCTGGACGGAGTGGATGATGGCACAGACAGTGAAGCTGAGGCAGCCCAGCAACCTCGGGGTCAGGGGACTCCTCCTTCGGGGCCAGGAGTGGGCCGAGCTGGGGTCCTCGGGGCTGTGGGGGACAGAGCCAAACCTCCTGAGGACCTGCCTTCAGAAATTGTGGATTTTGTGTTGAAGAACCTAGGAGGACCTGGGGAGGGAGGCACTGGTCCCAGAGAGGAGTCACTCCCCCCAATACCTCCCCTGGCTAATGGCAGCCAGCCACCCCAGGGTCTGCCCCCTAGCCCAGCTGACTCCACCCGCACATTTGCTTGGCTCCCTGGGGCCCCAGGGGTCCGGGTGTTGAGCCTGGGCCCCACCCCTGAGCCCCCCAAACCTGCTGCTTCCAAAATCATCCTTGTCAACAAGCTGGGGCAAGTCTTTGTGAAGATGGCCGGGGAGGGTGAACCTGTCCCACCCCCAGTTAGGCAACCACCTCTGCCCCCTACCATTCCCCCCACAGCCCCCACCTCCTGGACTCTGCCCCCAGGACCCCTGCTTGGTGTGTTGCCAGTGGTAGGGGTGGTCCGCCCTGCCCCGCCCCCACCACCCCCTCCACTGACGCTAGTTTTGAGCAGTGGGCCTGCCAGTCCACCCCGCCAGGCCATCCGTGTCAAGAGGGTGTCCACTTACTCTGGCCGGTCCCCGCCAGCACCTCCCCCAAACAAAACCCCACGGCTAGATGAAGATGGAGAGTCACTGGAGGATACCCCACAAGTTCCAGGGCTCGGGAACAGCGGGTAAGCACAGTGCTGACACAGGCAAGGGAGGGGGTGGCTGAAAGGAGGCAGCTCAACCTCGTGGTTCCTCCCCACCAGATTTAGCCGAGTGAGGATGAAAACGCCCACAGTGCGTGGAGTTCTCGACCTGGATCACCCTGGGGAGCCCACTGAGGAGGAAAGCCCTAGGTGAGAGGCCAGGCCCCTCTCCTTGGAGGCTCTGGGACCTCTGTCTTTTCTCCCTCCTGACAGGTGTTTCCTCACAGGCCCCTTCAGGAACGGTCCCCTCTGCTGCCACTTCCAGAAGGTGGTCCTGCTCAGACCCTAGATGGTCCCCCAGACCTGCTGCTCGAGTCTCAGTGGCACCACTATTCAGGTAGGGACCAGCCTTTTCCTCTCACTGCCATTTCCTTGTGCTTGGCAACTGACAATCACTTCAAAAAAGAGTGCGTGCTGGCTCAGTGCCTGTGGCTCAAGTGGCTAAGGCACCAGCCACATACACCTAAGGTGGCGGGTTCGAATCCAGCCCAGGCCCGCCAAACAACAGTGATGGCTGCAACCAAAAAAATAGCCAGGCATTGTGGCAGGGGCCTGTGGTCCCAGCTACTTGGGAGGCTGAAGCAGGAGACTCGCTTGAGCCCAGGAGT